CCCCCCCCCCCCCCCACCTTCCCCCCCACACCCCCCCCCCCCCGCACCCCCCCCCCCCCCCCCCCCCCCGGACGATTGTCTGGGGATTGTCCTGATACCAGATTTGACACATCTGTAGGCCTACATGTACATGACGACGGCTGAAGAATGGATTCCACAAGATGCAGCGTGTACTGATACTGATTTTCATAGTCGATCGAACATTTATATTTACCGGGAAAACTGGATCACTTAACGCGATAGGTTCATCAAAAATTCCGAAAAATTAACTTACGACATTTGATTACAAATAAATGCTATTAAAAAGTAGAACAGTTGTTGATTTATGCTGACGTGTTAATAAACAGTATACCTTTTGTGCAGTTCATATTGAAATAACCTTTGTATTCAATTACTCCCATAATGTGTTGAATAGCACGTCAGCGTAAAAGGGCTAAGGTCAGGGAATAGCTAACTGAGGGTAGTGAATACCCCCCTCCCTTCATCAACATACACCAATAGTTAAAAAAAGCTCAGTCACCAAGTTATATTCAGGTCAATCACCAATCACAAAGGAACCTGAATCACGTTTCATGCAGAATATTGGGCTCAAATAACGCACCAAGCAGGAAAATTATGGTATCTAGACCTATTCCCTATATCCTCCATACTACTGTAGGCCTACATACAAAGAGTATCACGTGAGCAGTGACACCGAAGGACAAACATGGTTACCGTACTGTAGGCTACATGTACCATCTAGATGAACAAGCACATATTTCTACTGTGATATCACATAGAGGAGGTCATGTACCAACACGTATGGCATTCTAGATATGGAGTACTAGTTACGGTAAGTTAGTTATGCTACATTTTCATGTATTCTGCCCAGATTCAGCGTAGGGTATCGCAGGGATTGTTAATACGTGTGATAAGGGGTAGAAATTAGGTCACACTTGAGGAAGACTCTTAACATGCTGTAAAACAGCATTGGCACAATTTGTGTAATATATTTAAAATTTGTGCTGAAATTGAAGTGCAGGCGCTGTAAGGTAATAAATATCACACTAGCTATCTGTTTTACCGGTTAGTGCACCGGGTAACATGATCTGACATGTTGGCAACTTTCAACGGCGCAATTTGACCGCCATCAAGTTTTATTTTTGCTTAAGACACACTGAATTACAAAGGTACTGGGTATTTAGAGATGTTAACACTTTTATAAAGCAGAAAATATCTAAACACTTCCTGGTCCGTGAATGAGCGATTTAAAATGGCTACGATGAATATTAGCACTTTCTGTTTCGTGAATAATCGAGATAAAAATGGCGACGTTCAACCTTAGTGAGGAATCTGATAAATAACCCGTTTTCGGCAGTTACAGTTGGTGCGCTACTAGCACAATTAACACAATCGGCACGAGTGGGGTCGATACGTTAGAACCGTTTGCTAATCCATGTCACTTGTGGTCTCAACTAACTTTTCCATTTTTTTGCTCCTCATTTACACGATCATACCATACAGTTATTTAACACTTTTCACTTAAAAGTTAAAATACTTCCTGTAACATACCTGTACAAGTTCGATAAAATGGACAGGTTCCTGGTAAAAGCTTTTCAATTTCCATGAAAAATACATTCCAGCCTTTATTTTCTTCTTAACTGTCATAGTTTATCACTCCGAGAAAGCGTTTTGTTCAATAGGCTTGTTCAATGGCTGAACCACTGGTTTCAATAGGAACTTTAGGCCTACAGTTTTGTTTCCTTCCTTTGGTTTTCTTTTGTATTGGTGCTGAAAGTAATTACGACAGTTCTAANCCAAACTGCTGAAGCGAAGCAATCTTATTTGACGCTATATACAGTTTAAGGTGTGAAAAAAAGAAACATTTTGATTCATTGGGTTGGTAAGGATCTAAAATTAAAGCCATTAAAATTTCCTTAAAATGGATAAATGAATGGATAAGAAACTGATTAACTTAACAAACTGATAACAAATAACTGATAAATCTTTTAACTTTTTTATGCTTACCACCCGTAAGATGACATGTGTGTCAATGTTTAATGTAGTCACTGAACACTGAAGATTTATCTGTTAATAAAAAAAATTGTATGTAAGTAGTAAATAAGGTAGTTTTATCAATGGCTCACAATATCCTTAATAACAGATTAAAATGAAATAGGCAAAAATTCTGGGCACGGGTAAAACCTGTAGCAGAACAGTGGTGAACGAACTGTCTGGAGTGGGTCTCTCGTGAGGCGAGGCGCAGGTTTTTAAGCAAGAGACAGGGGACAGTGGCTCATGGGATGAAGAGGTTGGGTGAATAAGTGTCTTACATTAAAAGGAAATTTTACAAATAAGACCTCATAGGGCTACACTTGCTGTTGGTCCAGACTGATATATACTCCCCCAGCAAAATAATAATAATAATAATAATAATAATAATAATAATAATAGTAAAAAGTCACTCCTACTGCCATTATGTATATTGCTACAAGAGTACCCATAGAATTGATTTAACAATTACATAGCAACAGGCAACCGATCAATGTGTAAATTGGGGATGTGAGTAATGAAACATTGACTTACCTAGTGTGACAATATTTTAATATGTGGCTCCTAAGTGAAAGGGATACATTTTTTACCAAGCGGCTGACATAGGGGGGATGATAGGCTACAGTTCTTAGAAGTAAGCAGGATCACCGTTGTCATATGTAATGGACGCGTAAGTGTTTGGAAAATAGAAGTAAATTCCCAATTATCTGCCTCTGGTCGACAGGACCCACCCCAGATAACTTGTGGTAATTTGTGGTATGGGGTGTATTGGTCCCTATGCTGTAGGAAAGCTGGTAAGATCGATGCATCCAAGTACTGGAAAGGAACTAAAGGAATTCTATTGGATACCCATTACAAAAAGAATATGACTTTACAACTTTAATGCATAGACGTTTATACATCTACATGTATGCAGCACACCGGGGTTATGAAGTACTTGGTACATACATGTAGGAGAGGGGTTTGTCAAATATAAAATTTTCAGAATTATCAGAATTTTCATTTTAAACGTTATGTTGGACTACCCCGTCACATATCCCCTAATCAAGAAGAGAGTGTACAAAATTGCTAAGATTTTTTACTGTGGTTGGCGTATCCATTAGTGGAACAATCAGTAAAATTTTGTGAAAAAAAATCTGTTACAAGTCGAACAAAAAGCATTAGCTTATGGCATGATTTTCGGTAAGAAAAAGCAATCCTCTTCGTCTTTTCCGAAAATCTTGAATTGAAGCACCAATTTAAGTACTGTTCTTCTTTTTTAATATACGTCGGGCTAACTCAATAACATCTCAGTGAGCTTAAATTACAATAAATTGACAATAATTGAATAAATTGAGCTTAAATTACAATAAATTGCTGGTGGATTTATTGCAGCCAAATGCGGTCTGTCATGAAAACTATTCCAGCCTTGTATAATTTCAGAAACGTGATGTAACCATGGCGAGCAACGTGACAGCATCGTGACATGTCATGATTTTCAGTGAGAAGAAGCAATCCTCGTAGTCTTTTCCGAAAAACGTGCATTGAAGCACGTTAAGACGTCGTGCAAACGAGCAGACGACGTGACGTCATTCAGTCAGATGGCAACTGGCTGAAAAACGTAACGTCATGGCGGTTATTTGAAACTTTTCAGTGAGTCCGCGTCACGAAATAGCGCCGTTATTGGACAACTGCGATGGCCGACGTGAAAAACCATACCTTGCAAATAAAGCTCTATTAAAATCTAACAAGGGCACTCTGTGCAGTCATTTTTTATAGACATGTAGAAAAGCATGTACTCTTACCCGTGGTTTCAAAGCATT